TAAATGATTGCCTCACCTTATCAAATGAAATAGATTTTTGTTACCCTTTTGTTAATGATATTGCTGAATTTGTATTCTCATTTGTTTTTACTCCATCTTCTATCTTTATTGTGTTTTGTTCCTTGACTTGACGCAAGTATTATAGGCAACTCTGAGAGTCCGGGACCTAGTGCCTAGTGTAACATGGTCTTCAGCCTTAGCTTGACGTACTTAAGTATAATAAATTGAAGTCCTGGTGTCACGGTCCGGGAGTTTGGACCCCGAAACGTGCGGCGCGCTCTAGCCTTTTGGCGGCAAGAACGCTAGCCTTGAGCGGAAGAGTGGCTTGTGAGCACAAAGCAACACAAGCAGGCAATAGAATCTCAGGAGCACTCAAGTCTATCTGGGCGACGGAGTGCGGGTGGTCGGGGCTTGTGACGGCCGATACTTCAAAGCGGGCACAAGCGGGTCCGAACCACGAGTCCTTAGCGCATCAAGTTGGGTTGGAGGGGAGCTAATATGCAAGTAAGACACAATATCTATAAAGGTCTAACAACAAACAAGCATAAAAACAAGGCAACACTTGGTAGAAGGCTTTAAGATTTCATTAATCATTCGCCCTCTAAAGAGCTTTAAATGACATACAAGGAGAATCCCTAGTGAACATTGATCTGACAGTAACACAATAATGGGACCTCAAGCTAAGAAAACAAAACCTAAACACTAGGAAAACACTTAAATGGAATCTAATACATCAAAAGGAGTTGGATTCTAACACCTGGCCTTTACATTTTTGTTTATATGATGTTTCAGGAGCTTGGATTGGGGCCCAACTTTTATACCGGTTCATGCAGTCCTTCATGATTGGATTCGGCATACTGATGGGGAGCTTTTGCGCTGAATGAGAAACCTGTGATCGGCGGGACAGCAGTGTTGAGTGTGTGAGTGGAAAATGATTAGTGATACTCTCAAGAGTCTCAACTCTACTTGATGCCTTTCTTCTAATTGATTTATATATCTTGGTTGCAGAATGTTCATGGGGAGTCAAATGCTGTACCAAAGCCTGTTGCTGTGAAAGGTAAATAATAGTTTTCTATGTTTGTATATGCAGGTTCTTATCCTTTTCTAGTCTGTTAAACACTCAAGTCCTAGTGGTCACTCTTTTTATGTTTCAATTAAGGAAGGAAACTAATTAGTTTCTACTCGAAACCCAAATTTGTGACCTGAACATTATGTTAGTTTGAAATTAATTGTTTTGAAAAAAAAAAAAAAAAAGTTGAAATTAATTAATTAGACTTGATGATAATAATTTGTATTAGCTTTAAATTGCAAATGAGTGTATTGTTGTCATTGTAACTCTTCACTCATATGACTTGTGGTTGCTAATTGCTTTTGTTAGCTATGTGTGTCTTAGTTGAACTCCTTAATACCTTTTTTAGATTTATAATCGTTTGCTTCCCACAATTCTCGAGTATAAAATTTCTTTTAGGATTTGGTGTTTTACAGATTGATTCTTTAATGAGTGATGCTCAGAATTTCTTTTGGCTTGCTAGGAATAATGTTACGTCCTGTCACATAATGAATTATATATATTTCATTTAACATGATAATGTTTTTTGTATATATTATTAAAAATGATAATTCATTGTAAGAGTTTATAGATTTTGAACAAAAATATAAATGTGCACTATATTATGGAACATAGGAAGTAGAATTTTATCTAAGATATAAAACTTTTGTGATTATACAATGATGTACTATCATTAATATTTTGGTTCTAAGTTGAAACCTTCGTCCGTGTACACGAGACTAATATATCTTTGCAGAATGGTCGAGCATTTAGAAATTCTATATTTTTATCAAACAAAAAATGATAGAAATAATAATAAAAGTTGAAATAAAAGAACTGTTGTCATTCCCTCATTCAGGGTTAAAAGTATAATTAGTCCTAAGAAAAGGAGTTTAAGTATAACTATTAAGCTTGATAACACCATTTTGAGTAATAATTTTTATGTACAAAAAAAAAAGAGTCTAATCATAGTACATCTTATTTTTTTTAAAAATAAGTAATCATACAGTACAACACAAATCCAATAATATAATTATCAATTAACGTTAAGATTTGAGGCAAGATATACTCCTTGCTTTTTTGATGAAAGAGATACACCATTGACTCCATACAATCATAAATACTTCAATTAACGTTAAGGTTTGGCAACATAAAAGCTAGTCATTGCATAATCCCAAGATATTAACTCCTTCAATAATCAATGTGTTAATCAGCAATTCATTCACCTACCAAACAATATTAGGTATGGTTAGTAGTATCACTAAAAATATTCTTAAACAATTATAATGATCTCATCACAATTTTACAAAGAAATCTATAGCCGTAATAAAATGGAAATTCATCTAATTAAAAGACTGTTGTTTACATGTGCCTGTAAATCCACCAACATATACCAATGAGCGAATTGATTCCATTATGATCATATATAATTTTAACCTGCATTCATAAATTAAGAGATAAGAACACATATTGCATTAGTAATAGAGATATATAGGAAAACAATAGTTAAAATTAAATAATTATATAGATTAAACAAAACAAGTTTTTTTCATAGGAACAAAGTACAATATATATTTATGGAATTATGTACTCATAATCAAATTATATATAAAAAAATTATAATTAAGCATACCCTATATTAAAGAAGGACTGAACACATACATTACCCACAATCAAATGCAACAAATTTCTCGAAGTTAAGTTTTGGTAAAAACTCATTGTTATTCAATAAAATAAGAGAAAAAAAATAACCGAAACGGAGTAGAAAAAAGTAAAATAAACGAACAACTTAAATTCCATGTAGATAGAAACTTGAAGTAAAATAATTTTCATTAAGCATTTCATTAAATAAGAAACTGAAATGATTTTAGATTTGTATTGTTATTTTCAAGATATATACAGACAATAAATGTAAATTTACCTTATAAGTATTGTTATGTATTTGATAGAGGAGAATTTGAGTCACCCAAATTGATGCAATTGTAAACAAATTTGTATATGAATTTGATAGTGGAGAAATTGAGTCACCCAAATTGATGCAATTGTAAACAAATTTGTATATGTATTTGATAGAGGAGAAATTGAGTCACCCAAATTGATGCAATTGTAAACAAATTTTTTTGTTTTTTAAGTTTTTTTATTTGACGGTAGTATGAGAAAGAAAAGAATAGTTTTATCAAACTTTTTGGTAGTTATTGTGTATAATTTGTTTTTGGTAGTTTTTTTTTATTCCCACGTTAAACTGTTTAAGGATTGTTAGCAGTTTTTTCTTTCTTTTTTTCTTTTTTTTTTTTACTTTTAAAAAGATTATATTTTTGAAGTAAATAAGTATTTCTATAAAGGTTATTTTTGGAAAGGGAAAATTCCCAACCAAAAAAGAGTGTTTCCTTTAAAGAGTAACATAGATCTTTTAGAATTCCAATTAGCGTGGAATGTATGTCCTATAAATATGTTTTCGATTTTCATTAATAAGGGTAGAGTGTTATGATTTTTTGAATTGATTAGATCGTTGATTTAATTGTGAGCATGCAATTGCTTAAGTTTTTGCGATTAAACTAACAATTTTGATCGAGATTTCAAAATTGAACCCTCAAGTCTTGCGATTGATTTGAGTCTATCCCAAACCCTATAATCCACCACGTGAATCAATATCATAGTTAACCATAGCCCTTCAAAAGCCCAATCCTCAAATCTCATGCTTTTTTTTTTTTTTTTTTTTTTTTGAAAATGCTATATATAGCCCTAAGGGTTATGTATACGAAGCTAAAAGAGCAAAGTACTAATGAAATATCTTCATTAATTACACTAATTTGCACGTGATTTTGTCATGCATTCCTAAAATAATATGGAGTACCAATTAAGGAAAGATATTTAATGCTTATAGCTACATATAGCATTACTCGTTTATTATTATTATTATTATTATTATTATTATTATTATTATTATTATTATTATTATAACCTCTAATTAAATAACTTTCACATTTTCATTTTTTTTATAACTTCCACATCTCCTATTGTTTTTTTTTTTAAATATATATGTTAATATGTTATGTATATCCGTGCTAACTCTCGTGATGAAAAATGAAAAGTGAGTCCCCAAATGATGAAAAGTATATATATATATATATAAAAAAAAAGTCCCAAAAATGCATTTAACTCTATACATATGTGATATGTATTACAAAAATCTCATTTTGCGTGCATAAAAAAGGACTAGTGATTTATTACTCTATTTGTTTTTTAAGTGTCTCATTTTGACTAGGAACATATGCTAATGTAAAACTTTGATCTATAATATACTTCTTATTTAATTATTAGTAAGTAAAATTATAAAAAAATAAAATATCTTATAAAATATAAATCAAAGAGAGCCACTAAGGCGGATGATGAGAATCGATACCAGGATCACTTGGAATCGGAAGGGGAACTCTAACCACTTGAGTTAAAGATATTTAATAACAAGATCCACATGAATATATTTTTGTTTAATATAAATCATCAAAATTAATCAAGGTGGAGTATATGTAAAATGCAAAAGTTAATGGAAAAGAAAAAAAAATTAAGGAAATATTTGATTAAATCTTTGTAAAAAAAAACTAGTAGCAAAAAATAATGAGTATAAAGTTTTCCAATTGCATAAATTATAGATTTTATTTCCTAAATTTTAATGATTCATATACAACATAAAAAGGAAACATTTCTTTCAATAATTATAATAATACAAATTAATTCCCTTCAACAATTATCTAAGAATTATACTGTCAATCAAAATAATTAAGCAATCAACATTTATTCCAATCAAATATTTACAATTATATGTGTTGTTCACAATATTAATTTCTAACCAAACATTGTTGTAAAATGACCAAATTTGTATTCTTGCAAAAAAATAATACTATATTTGTACTAGATAGAGCCCCTTTTCTTAATTTGTACGATTGGTCAGCAATAACTCCACCACTTCTTATAACCATCTTACCTTCTTACACATGTGAACCATCATAATCCATTGCAACACATGTTCAATTGTTCATCAAAACCATAAACAAATCAAACAAATTCAACAATAATTTTTCTGGGAATTTAGCAAAAAACCCAATTTTAATTTTAATTTTAATATGGCTGGAGCAAAAGATTTGTTATCTCATTTTGGTTCAGTAATTGCAAGCCTAGTATTTTTCTGGGCAATTTTCCAGCAATATTTTCCTCATCATCTTAGAAGTCATATAGAAAAATACTCTCAAAGAATCATTTCTTTGGTTTATCCTTATATTCAGATCACTTTCAATGAAACAACAGGGGAGAGATTCATGAGAAGTGAAGCATACGTCGCGATTGAAAATTATTTGAGCTCGAATTCGAGCAAGCAGGCTAAGAGACTGAAGGCTGATATGCTGAGAAACAACCAGTCTTTATCAGTTAGCATGGATGAACACGAGGAAGTCGGTGATGAGTATAAAAGAGTTAAAGTTTGGTGGGCTTTTGGTAAGAATGTTAGTAAACAGCCAACATTCTCATTTCATCCTGTTGCTGATGAGAAGAGGTATTACAAGTTGACTTTTCATAAGAAAAACAGGGATCTTATTATGGATGACTACCTTAGTTATGTGTTGAAAGAGGGTAATGCGATCAAGATTCGGAATCGACAAAGGAAGCTGTATACTAACAATGGAGCTCAATGGAGTCATGTTGTGTTTGAGCACCCTGCGTCGTTTGAGACTTTGGCAATGGAGCCGGCGAAGAAGGAGGAGATTATAGAGGATTTGGTTACGTTTAGTAAAGGGGAAGAGTTTTATTCGAGGATTGGGAGGGCGTGGAAGCGAGGGTATCTGCTGTATGGACCTCCAGGGACAGGAAAATCGACTATGATTGCAGCAATGGCGAATCTGTTGAATTATGATATTTATGATCTTGAACTGACTGCTGTCAAGGATAACACAGAGTTAAGGAGGCTGCTTATTGAGACCTCGAGCAAATCGATTATTGTGATTGAGGATATTGACTGCTCGAGGGATCTTACAGGACAACGGAAGAAGAAGCCAGACAAAGAGGTGGACAATATTGGTGGTGATGAAAAGAAAAAAGCCATGAGTATGCTTGCTAGAGAAGAACAGGATGCCAGTACAAGCAAGGTTACACTGTCAGGGCTATTGAATTTCATTGATGGTCTGTGGTCAGCTTGTGGAGGCGAAAGACTGATCGTGTTCACGACTAACCATGTTCATAAGCTCGATCCTGCATTGATCCGTAGAGGGAGGATGGACAAGCATGTTGAACTGTCATACTGTGGGTATGAATCCTTCAAGATTTTGGCCAAGAATTACCTGAGAATTGACTCTCATCATCTGTTCCCAACCATTCAGAAACTGCTGGATGAGATTCAGATGACTCCTGCTGATGTTGCTGAAAATCTGATGCCTAAGACAGCTTCTGCAGATGCAACTTCAAGTATACAAGACCTTGTTGCCACTTTACAGTCGGTGAAGCAGGAAGCGGAGCAGATAGAAGTGGGACAATGAAGGGTGTCACAGTATTCACAAACTATGGGAATTAGAGGATTTTGGAGAAAGATGGATAATTAAGCTCTGAGCTTGAAGCAATTATTCAGGTTCAAATTTTGGAGAAAGATTGAGTTTTATCATTTTCATTAATAAGCATGTAATTGTTACTTGAGATAACAAGAACAAGCAGGAAATAGATACTATCAGATAGGAAAATCCTTATTCACATAGAAAATTGGAATTAGAAGAACAGTTAGGCAGCTGGATTGGCTTTGATGCTTTTGTGAGGCTAGTCTTTTCTCTGAAAATATCAGATTACAGCAGAAATCTTAGATTTTATGAAAAATTACAACTTTAATTAAAAAAAAATGAATCATTGCTTAATAAAAATCAAATTTTCACCTATATATAATGCACAGCTTTTCAAATCAGTGAATCAGCAGATTCAAGCTTATCTATCCAATCTGTAAATACTTTATACTTTTACAATTTAGACCAAAAAAAGAACAAAAAAATTACTGACAGTTAGGATTATGCAAACTGTGGGTGTGCTCTATGTGCTTCAGCCCTGTCTCCACCAAAGGTAATTTCATACATAGCTTAGTTCTAAGTTATTAACGATTTCCTTTGTTGGGGGATGATAGCTAGATAATGAAGATTGGGGCCAAATATATTTGATATTGGTCATTAAACGAGAGCAAATACAGGGTTTGGAGGGGAGGCACCTAGGCAGTATTGCTGCAGGCGGAGACAGGAAGTCATTTATGTATTATAATCAAAGTGCCTGGAATAAATCATTATTAAAACTGAAGAGAACTAAGTAAAAACATGGTAAAGGGGCCTATCAATTGTGAGGCACTTAAATGCTGTTCAAGAATAATGTTTTGCCCTAGAAAATCAGATAATTAATCACAAAGGCACTTCATTGTCATGAGTAGGCCAGGAAGATATTGGACATGGGACCTAATGCGAAAATAGGGCCGAGTCAACTAGTCAAGCATTAATGAGCTTTGGGTTCTATAGTTCTATAGTCTTGTGACTTTGAATGAAGCTATGGGGCTGACATAGGCAACTTCCCCAAAATGTTGAAATTTTCATCTTAAGAAAATTCATCACATTTTAGCTAGTCTTTGTTGTTTATCCGTCTGCTGAAAACTTTTCAAATAAACAAAGGATGGTTGCAGCAGAAAATAGAAATGCAGATCTCCTGTTCTCCTGCACAAATTGTCGTAACATTAAAAATGATGATACGGAAGTGTATAAACTCAAGCATAGCTCACTGAGAAGAAACTGACCCATCACTTTGATTAGGAATTTAGGAGGGTTTTATTTTCCTCAGGATTCAAAACATACTACAAGTTCATGGCTTGCAGATATGTCAGTTGAGTCGATAGTTCTATACAGGAACACAGCAACCCCAGCTGCACCAAGGTAATCCTTTTCAATAGTTCTTTCTTGAAAAATACCTCATCTTAGAAGATTAAGGGGGATGAACTTGCTACAATATAAAACAGCTTAGTTTCTGGAAAATTGTTGCAAAGTTTAGTTTATCGTCGAGTTTTTGAAGGCTGACAGCCCAATAGTGAGCTGGTCAAGGGTAGAACAGGTCTATTAATGACATAAATTTTGTTTGATTTAATGTAGTGGAGTCGGGACGAACTTCCAAGTACCTTCAGGCTATCGAAGAAGCAGACATTATCTAGCTCTTGCGTGCAAATCATATAATCTAATTACTGAAGTCATTACAGAAAATCAGACAAGCAGAGATAAACTTTTGCTTAAAGTAATTACATAACATTAGATTCCACAAACTAAAAAAACCCCTGCCTTGAGTCTTTAGGTGCTATAAACAGAATCCCATTTACCTGTAAAGATCACTCCACGTTACAAGAATAGTGTACATGGGTTGTAACTGATTTTACCATTATACCTTAACTAAGAATCTAATGGAGCATAGTATGAACATTATTCTATTATAAGATAGTTCCGGAGTAAAATCATGTCATACACTTAATTATAAGGGGTACGGCGTTAAGACAATGTCACTGTTATTTCTAGAAGAAAGGGTAGGTCTTGAATAATATGCTACCTTTCAAAGATTACCAAGATTATAATAAAAACAAAGAAGAAGAAGCTCGTACTTTGCTCCTTTAACCTTGCTCCTTTTACCTCGCTCCTTTTACTAATCATCCTTCTAGATTTTCATAGTCAAATGTTTTCATACAGCACGTTTCCGGGGATAGTTATTCCAAGAGAGCTAGAGGCAAATATATGTTTGAATTGTCTAAACATAAGTCATTTTTATTATGATCAAATCAATGAAATTACATGGACCAAATTTTCCAATTGCTTCATACAATTAAATTCCAAAAAACCAACATTATATTTAAGGAAAATTCCAATGTGAAGTTAGACTGGTCTTATTTCCATAAGGTTGAACAAGTGCCTGACTGCCTTGTCATTTGATTGATTTATTTTAGACCACTTTTACAGTTGTTTCTGTAGACCATCATTTTCATAGAGTTTCAAAAGGTACAAAATGAATAAATAGAATGATACAGAGTTAGATTTGTTCTATAAATACTGAGCTCATTATATGCAAGAACTTGAAATGCTCCAACAAATAAGAAAGAAAAGGCATACAGCACCACAAAAACCTATATATGAGTGATGAAAGAACAGAAGCTAAGGCCTCCGCTCGCAGGAGAGATGGCGCTCGCTGCCGGTAGATGCATATTGCTATGCATGCCTTTCACTACCTGCAGCTGGTGCCATTCTGCTGCGAACGGAGACCTGTGTATTCTTTAAGGGTTTTCTACACATACATTAACAACTACTTTGTTTTAGTTTGTGTTTGTGTTTGTTCTTTATTGACTAGCTCAAGGTTCTATTTGAGGTAAAGTTGATAGATACTTCCATTTTATTTATAATTCATGGTTAATCTATACAGTTTATTTAAACAATAAGTTGGGTTCAAATTAGATGAAGGTTGTGCGTGTTCTTTGTTGACTAGCTCAAGGTTCTATTTGAGGTAAAGTTGATAGATAATTCCACTTTATTTATTTTTCATGGTTAATTTATACATTTATTTAAACAAATTGGGTTCAGATTAGGTCAAGGGATTACAACCCGTATAAGTAAACAAGTTATTCTAACTATCATTACTAACAAATCTAGATTTTGTACCAATGGTAACCTATTGGTCAAGTTTCGAGCCTATAGGTCGTGAGTTCAAACTCTTTTTTCCCTATTTATATTATCATTATGGCTCAGACCAAAATAAACGATCGATATACAACCCTATCGCCATGTTTTATTGTTAAATGAGTAGTGAAATTGAGAACTTAGTTTCTAAATCTTCCATCCCAACGTTTTTAATGCCCTGCACCAAGCCACCAATAATATAGCACCAAGCCTATTTATATTATCATTATGGCTCAGACCAAAATAAAAAGAAGTTTCGATATGGAGAAAAGCGTACAGTCGGATAGAGAATGATTTTCGCAATTGTAAATTAGAGGAACATGGGGCAATTCAGCTCATTTGTAAATGATGAAACACCAACTTTTAAAAACTGAACTTCCTCCTAATTTAACACAAAGTAATGTAGATCTAAAGCACATAGGGGTGGGACTTCGATCTGGCGGTTCGGTTTGACCTCGGTTTGAGTCGGTTTCGGTTTGGAGCGGTTCGGATTGAAACAGTTTAGTTTAGCTGGCGGGTCGGTTTGGTTCGGTTTGGGTTAGTCACGGCTTGGTTTGATTTCGGTTTATTTCTTTGCGGTTTAAATTCGGTTTGGGTCATAAGCGGGTCGGTTTATAAACGATTCGGATTATGTCGGTTCGGTTTGATACGGGTCGGTTTAAGGGGCGGGTTTACCCGGGTCAATGTCAGTTCGGTTTACAAACGGTTTGGATCAAGCCGGTTTGGTTTGAAATGGGTCGGTTTAGGGGCGGATTAACCCGGGTCAATATCGGTTCGGTTTATAAACGGTGCGAATCATGTCGGTTCAGTTTGAAATGGGCCGGTTTAGTAGAGGGTTTACACAGTTCAATTGGTTCGGTTTATGAACGGTTTGGATCATGTCGGTTCGGTTTATAAGCGGTTTGGGTCATGAATTCATGATTGTTTTAAAGATCGCGTCATGACCATGATTTAATGAGTTGATACTTATAATACGATAAATCGATAATTAAGAATGTACAATTATTCAATTAGATTGATCAACAAGTGTTTTAAACTTTTAAGTTTTAATTATCAGATATGTAAATAATTAAATATGTTTATCGATTGTAGTACATACCGATAATTCAATGAGGCAATGATACTTATGATAGTATGATAATGATACCAACCGTACATTCGTACGATATGATATATGATTAGGGGATTTTTATCCACCAATCACCGTCTGACAAGTGGACCAACCAGGTTCCGCCACGTGTCCTTCACGAAGGCCAACATGAGCTTGCCACGTGTCAATCACAGATACGTCCTCTACGGACCACTATAGACACGCCACGTGTCCACCCATGCCAAATGGGACAACCGGCCATCAAGGCCCAATTCAGTCTAGAGGCCCGATCAGCCCTAGGTTTACCTTAAACCTAGAGAGTTGCACGCTTCTCAAGGCTATAAATACTCGATTAATCCTCATTAATCAAACAACAGAAAAGGATCGAATAATCAAGAGATCAAGCAGAGAAGAACAGAGTTATTAACAACCGGCTAATCTCGCTAACGACGCAGATTACCAACACTAAGCACTCTCACCTAGAGAGATCTCATTACTTTAATTTCTGTATTAATTACTCCTTAATCAGGTACTAACTTGACCGTTGGAGGCGGAGCTCTCAGGAGTCTCCGTTATTTTGCAGGTACAGGCGTCCGGTTCCAGTCTCGGAATTGTAACTCTCCCGCAGGACATCAGAAAACCCCGAAACATTTGGCGCCGTCTGTGGGGAGAGTACTTCAGAGATGGCATCCAAGTCTGTACCAACTCCAGAAGAGAGGCGTCCCCTAGACGACCCTCAAGTTCAGTCGGACCATGATACCGAAAGTGAATTTGAAGTTGAAACTCATACAGCTCCAGACGGGACCCTAAGGGCCCGACGTACCCGTCATACCGAAATGAGGGAACGGGAGTATCTTCAAACAGGAAGCGAGCCAGCAGGCGCACCGCTTGCTCGGCAACAGCCGACTGATGGGTCTGCTCCCATCACAAGGAACGAACTCATGACCTTCATGAGGGACTTCAAGGGAGAGATCCAAGAGTTGATCAACAAAAAACCGCCTGCTTCAGTCAAAGAGCAGTCGGCCAAGAAACC